ATATGAATAATATCATATTTAGTCATGTTATGAGTAGTGGATGGAATAGAAAAGAAAGGTATATGCTCAAGAAAGACAATATGATGAGACACATAAAGTTTCTGAGTTATTGGATTAAAACAACAATACCCCTTTTTACCTTCACCATAACCTAGAAAGACACAAACAGCGGATCAAGAGGATAACTTACTGCATTCTACATAAGGATGAAGAACGAAACAAGTACAACCATAGACTCTAAATGAGGAATAATCAAGGGCATACTCATATAACTTTTTAAAAGGAAATAGACCCGAACTATGAGAAGATGAAATTGTATTAATCAAACTTACTACAGTAAGAACAACTTCTCCCCAAAACTCACTAGGAACAAAAGCAGACAACAAGAGAGAATGAGCAGTTTTGACAATATGCCTACACCTTGACATAACTAACTTAGCTAGACATAATGAAAGAAAGAAAAATAAATAAATAAAATAAGAACATAAATAAGATAAGAGTTAACTAAGTAAAGGAAAGGAAATGAAAGGCATAAACTTGATATTAATGAAAGCAAAGCATAAACATTACAAAAAATATAAAGAGAGAAAGCAAGAGCATGATCTTGATCTGGAGACCAAGATGCCTAAATGCATGGTAAATGCCTCCATTTATAGGCCAAAATTAGGAACAATTGATTTGATGACTAATTGATGAGTGGGTGACCAACTCTTGACTTGGTGACAATCCTTATCTTCTCTTGTCTGCCCAAAACATCATTGATAACGTCAAAATTAGAGATACTTGAAAACATGAAAGTTGTAGGAAATTATCTCAGATTTCTTGTGTAAAAACTTTAGCTCATTTCGACTTCTAGAACTCCAGATATGGCCAAAATACTGAATAGTGCTCGGGCTGGAGGACAGATTCGGGCTTCTTTGTTGTTACTATAATTTGGTCTTGAAAATGGCTTTTTTAGATCTTGGGCTCCATATGAAAGTTGTAGGCCTATGTCTTACCTTTCCATCATTTAAAATAGACCTAAATATGAGATCTATAACTCCAGATATGACCCAATTACCAAACAGTGTTCCGGTTTGGATTGCACCGACATCTCTTTTCTAAGTTTGGCCATCTCTTTATCATTTCAATTTCAGTTCTTAAATTCATCAATCAATCCTTTTATTTATGTGATAGGCCTGCATTTAAAATGAACATTTACCATAAATTAAAGGTATCTTATATTATTAGATATATTATTATAAAACATGCTTTAGTTAAGGAGTTATTGATACTTCAAGTGCAAAATGATGATATAAAACCTTGATAAAAATACACTTTTAAGTACTAATCCAGTGCCATCAGTAGTCATAACAGGAATGGAGGACAAAGGGGACACAAAGGTAAAAGATGAGGAATCTAGAGACATATGATGAGAAGCACCAGAATCCAAGATCCATTTAGAGTGTGACATACTTGAGGATCTATGAGGCAACTGACCTATAGAAGAAAAAGCAGACATTGCTTGTGGTTACAAGGAGAGAAACTTTTGAAATTGCTCAGCCAAAGTATTGGGATCGGTAATAAAGCCTGGGGAAGTTACTGCTGCAGTATTATAGTGTGATGGTTTATAACCCTAAGATGGTCTATGAGCAATAGGTTGTGATTGACTGTCAAACTTCCAAGCTTGATTCTGTTGTCTCAACTTAGGACACTGAGCCTTCCAATGACCTTTCTGCTTACAGAAACTGCACTCATCGAAGCTAACCCTTGTGTAAGGTTTCTTCTGATGATTAGAGAATGGCTTAGAAGGTACTGCTAGTACTGAAGGATTCGAAACAGAAAGAATTCTTTTTTTAGAATAAGATTGAAGACGTATTTCTTCAGCCAATAACTCACTCACAATAGAGTCAACACAAGGCAGTGGAGAACGATGCAAAATTGAACCTCTAAGTCCTTCGAAGTCACTACGAAGTGCTGTTAAAAACTGTATTAATCGTTGCTGCTCTCTACGCTCAATATAGGCACCATATGCATTTAATTCTGCTGATTCTGTAAGAGCCAATTGATCCCAAAGATCTGTCATAGTAAAATAAAACTCTTGAATATTCATATTTTTTTGATGAAGAGCTCGTATGTCATTCTCTAATTGATACTGTTTTGTAAAATTTGATTGCGTGAATAACCTTTGCAGATGATCTCAAACCTCTTTTGTTGTCTCATACTTCACCAACTGCATGCCTATTGAATGTTCAATAGAATTGTTGATCCAAGTAATGATCTTTACATTATTTGCCTCCCATGTATATATCAAAACAACATCCCTCTCCTCAATGTTTTTAGGTATTATATAAGTTCCACTAACATACCCCCACATCTTCTTACTTTTAAGAAAATTTCTCATGACATAACTCCAATATAAATAGTTCTTCCCATCCAACCTCACACTCATAAACTGAAGTGAATCATCTCTTTCAGTAGCCATAATCAACAATCACAAAAAACTAAAATACAAAAGCAGCGGAAAACCAAATACCAAATTGCAGAAACTGAACAGAAATTCAGAAACTAAACAAATATCTTCTCACTACTATACGATTACTCCAAAACACAAAACAAATTTGCAAAAGCTGAAGGGAAGACGAAATACCAAAATAATTGTAGAAATTGATGAAATATCAAATTTTGCAGAAGCGGGAGATAAAATCTCACTCCAAAATAGTTGGATCCGCGAAGCTGTGTTCAGGATTAAGTCTCATTCCATAAAACCAGCTCTGATACCATGTAAAAATAATTAAGATCAAACACAAGAAGGAGGCTAGAATTCTGAATAATCTGTATATTATGAATGCTTAACCTTAATCTAAATACAAATAAAGTATATATATATTAATCTGAAAGTACTATTCTATTCTTAATAAATAAGACTACATAAATATTATTTAATAGGAGTATATCTAAAAATAAAAGGAAATTTATAAAATTAATAGTAGAAATTTTGGATACACAAGGAATGTGGTAGAAATGCATGGAGAAATATAGATGATGTATTTTGAAATGAAGTTTTATTTAAAAAGGATATAATTGTAATTTTAAGTGTTAGAAATTAAGGAGCTAAAACACTCCACTCAATGGAAATTTTATATTTTCAAATAAATTATTATGATCATTTATTTTTATTTAGATGATGGTAGCTAATAGCATAATATAATGTATAAATGACCATATTTTTATATTAGAGGTATTTTAATATAAAAATACTATTTTAATTATTATTTCTAGATTAGAAATTATATTATTAGTGATCTTTCTCATCACCATTATCATAATTATCATAAGATCTCCAAATTAATTTATAATCTTGAAGTGAATATAGATAACTTGTATAGATTGTGTGTTTAGTTTTCCATTTGATTCATTATATGATATTATTGATTATATTGATATTTTAGGAGTTTTTTTAGTTATTATTTCAAAATAAAATATATTTGTATGAAAGTGATAGTCATGTCATATCCGTGTCGTTATATATACTTAGATGGGTCTACTCAAAGCCGCAGTCCCTCACATGAGCTAATTCATGAGCTAATTCAATAGATGGTGGCCATAGTCTAGTCCCAGTTCTAGCTTGGCTCAATTCCAAGAGCCACAACCAAGCCTTAACAACTTTAACTACTTAGGGTTTATAAATAAATAAATAAAAACTAAGAAGGCATTCACTAAAATCAACAAGAGAAGTACCACCACCAATATAGATAGTCTTAATTATGCAATAAAAGAATTAAAATCAATTTATTTAAGGATTTTTCTTCTATTTTTAAATATTTTCAACCAAAATAATAAAAAATAATATTTCTTATAAGTGACACTACCAAATTTAATAATTTTATCTGTGGGAATATCTGTTAGTATTTACCTGTGATTATTTTATCAATAAAGAAATAAAGATAGTTTGAGAGCAAAATTGACATAGACAGTAATTTGATTGTTTTAAGGATTTGAATGAGTTGTTTTTCTTGACTATCTTTGGCCATGTTCCATGCGTCGCCTATTCACATGACTTTTGGTTATGTTGAAAGCATCGCATAATTTAAAGTGTCTCTCTCTCTCTCTCTCTCTCTCTCTCTCTCTCTCTTTTAAGGATATGTCTATTATTTATTGAGGGTGGCATCCTCATACTCGTCGTTGGGCAGCACGACTGCTCCGATGATCCGACAACCATTCACTACCAGGGTCGATCTCCCTGTGATGTTCCAGCCGTAAGCTCAATGTCGAAAATCATAACAATCGTCACCGCTTACGAAACTTCCATCGACTCGGAACTGTTTTATCCTCGTTCACAATACGCAGTGGAAATTGTTGAACTAAGGGAGGGGTCTGGCGGCCACTCCCTGTGGACAAGGCAATGTCACCGAGGGAAGCCTTTAAATAATTACCATAGATATAGCAAAGAGCTAAAGACCTCTCTCGCTACAGTGATGAGAACGTTAATCCAACTTTATGCTTCTATTTGACTCGTGATCTGGGGATCTTTTTGTTCATACCAACAAGTTTCAATCGTCAACCAAGACTAGCTTATATAATTATATCTGTGGTGCATGGTAAACATTTTGAATCATGGAAGGAGCCATTTCCAAGTCTATATAAATACGTGGAAGAAAACCAATAGGCCTCACTAGAAATCAATAATTCATTTTAAGAAAACAAGTCCAAAATCATTATACTGGAGCTCAAATTTGATTGCGCGTTAATCTATCTGTGTTTGAACTCTCCTCTGCAAAAGCATGGAGAATGTGTTTTTTATAATTTGAAAGAACGTTTAGCAGCTTTCTTGTTCCCCTAACTAAACCTTAGTCATCCCACCTAACGCAATTGACTTGTTTGTTTATTTGGTTGGTTAACAGTCGTTATCTACAAGCAGCATGCACTTGGTAATCTGCGCCCTCTGCGCTTGATAATATTTAACATTTCTACTCTTCAAATTTCTGAAGGAGTGTGATAAGACTTGGAAACCAGGAAGACTGACTTCGTCGTGTAGCCTAACGTCGCTTGGGCTTCAAGAAAGATTTTGAGTCTTCCTCAACTTATTTCCCAGTGAAGACACATCAAGATCGTGTTACCTTGTATCTTGGTTTCTTTGGTAATGCGATATCTGCAGTATTTGTAAGCTAACAATTACACTGATCAAATGATAACAGAAGCCCAAAATTGGCAGCATCTAAGCCAACCAAGCACCTCTCTTCTCATAAAGAAACAGATGTCCATTTATCTACTTTGCTCTTCTCTTTCTTGTGCAAAGATAACTGCGTCACGAGAACCAGCATAGACCTAGAGAGAAGAGACCCTCTTTCACAAGTCACTTCTGTTGACCTATCTATCCCTCACCCTCTCTACCTTCCACGTCGTTGCACCACATCATCAAAGCCAAAACTCATACACAAGGTAATACGTGTCAGATCCCGTGGAAATTAATGTGAAGGAGAAGGACTTGGACAGTTTCATGCGGTAGAACTTCAAACGATCATGATTTGCTAGGAACACTTGAACAAGAGAGATAGGATAAAGACTTTTGTGAATCGTGGCTACCAAGAAAGTGGAAGAAAGAAATTAGAACCCCAGAAGTTACTTGTTTTAAACAACGAAAGACCAAGAATTTGAGAATTAGATTCAGAACAATCATTGAGGGGTAGCAATCAAAGGAAAGATCCAACGAAATGAATGCTGCAGCTACTGGTATTAATGTGCAGAACTTCCACATTCAAGATCAAGAGGGAAAACCTCCATCCATAATCCCCATCAAGGTTCTTTCTCCTCCTCCTCCTACCTCAAGTCAATCTCTTGATTTTGTTCTCTTCACCCGTTCTCCTTCTCTATCAAAATAGTCAAGAATTCCCAAGGTTGAATAATTTATCATCTTTCTTTGTCTTCAACATCCTTTCTCTCTCTCTCTAATAGTCTTTATTGATTCTTTATTTCTTGTTTTTAGTCTTTTTAACTACTCCATTGTTTTGATCATTCATTTTTTTATTCTTCTTGAGCAGCTCATACTGTGAGTTGACCCTACAAAATTATTATCTACCAACTCGCTTTGTTATTTTTGCAGGTTCAAGAATCAAGCGTCCAGATGGAAACCGCGACGGTGGCGGGGCTGTTAGTCCAGAGGCTCTTTCGAGCCCTCTTCTTTGTTCACACCCTCCTAATCGCCATACTAGTAATCTGCCTCACCATCCGTGGCCTCCTCTCCTCCCACAACCACCATTTTCACCCTAAGAAGTGGTATCCTCCACTCCTTGCATCAACAGCATGTGCTGGGATTGTGGCTTTCACATGGCAATGGTTTACTTTCCGCAACCCTTCAAGAGCCCTGAGAGCAGCCTTCTGGCTTAGCCCCTTGCTAACCTGTGCAGCAGGCGTGCTGTTTGTATTAATTAGTTCTACTGCAAGTTTAACAATAGGCGTCATTTCTATAGTTCTTGCCCTGATTCTATCCCTTTATGCTTGTTGGGTGAATCCTCGATTCGATTATGCCACCAAGGTTTTGTCAGTTACTGCTGCTTCCCCTCCTGCCAAGACCACCGCATTAATCAACCTCTCAATCATCCTAAGCTTTTTGTATTCCTGTTTCTTGGTATCTGGGATTGGCGGAGCCACTGCTGTTGGAACTGTGATAGACACTTCGTTCATTTTGGTGATCCTTGCGAGCCTGGCATGGAGTATGCAAGTGATGAAAAACACATTGCAAGTTACAATTGCACGCATCAAGTACCTACACTTTGCATCTGGGGCAGATATGGACTCGAGAATAGCTTTACGGGACACAATCAAATATTCAATGGGAAGTGTGTGCCTCAGCTCAGTCCTTGTGCCGATAATTACCGTAATCCGGGGTTCAGCGCGAGCAATTAGTTTGATTGCAGGGGGCACAGACGAGTTCTTGTTTTCCTGTGCTAATTGTTATTCTGCTGTTGCCGCAACACTAGTTAACTATGGGAATCGGTGGGGTCTTGTGCAAGTAGGGGTTTATAATAAGGGGTTTGTGCAGGCATCCATGGACACATGGGAGTTGCTCAGGAGAGTTGGGTTAGAGCCTATAATTGACAGGGATCTGACAGGGTCTTTCTGTTTCCTTTGTGGGATGGCAGGAGGTGCGATATGCACCCTTGTTGGAGGAACATGGACATTTGCCGTTCACAAGAGCTATGCTACAGAAGTGTCAATCTATGCATTCCTGATTGGCTACTTCATGGTAAGAGATCAGCTATCTTTAGCCTTGTAAACATTTCTTACAGCAGTACTTGGAAACTCACAAAGTTCGATGACGATTTTTTTTGCTTGCAGTGTCGGATAGCAATGGCATGGCAACAATCATGTGTTGCAGCTTACTACATTGCTTACACAGAGAACCCAGAGAACCCACGGCTTGACCCAACTATACTATTTCGCATTCAAGAATTTCAGAGACGTGGAGCTTAACAATCATCTGAAGCTAACTTCATCTCGCTTGCTGACTCCAGATTCATTGTTTTAGATTGAAAATTTGAAACACGACCAGACACACCACCTACGCTAGAGCTACATCAATTGATGTTAGAAGGCATGTGATTCTGTGAAAACATTATAATTACAATTTTTTGATTGTTTGTGCAAGATAAGTTGTCCTGTAAGTGGCATTTAAGTCTGCTTTTAGATTCAATATAATCCACTCAAGTTCTCTAGTACGTAGATCATATTCAGAAATATTGAATTTCACTTTGATCAGATGCTTAATATGGTCACACTCCAGACAGCAGATCTAAGGTCACAGAGGATCTAATTCCAAGGCAGTGCAAATCATATCTACCAAATTTTGATCTCAAGAGTAATCATGTTAAGAAACTCTTTTAACTGCATATGTTTCAAGCTCCATTTGCAATACTTACTAAGGCAAATGAATGCATCTCCATTGTTGCATCAACTGAATGAACGGGAAATGGAAACGGTAAAATCAGAAGCTTTCCTATATAGTGAAAACAGATCATTACAATTCAAAAGATCAAGAAGAATAAACTACAGACGAAGAATGCCATTGAGAAATCAAGTCAAATACACAAAAATTTAATACAGTAATGCGAGGCTACGTGACTACAAAAACTATGACAACCTGCTAGTGCTAACATCAAATAAGGGTACAACAAAATGCACTGAGAAAGAAAAACACAAAAGTTACTTGGGTCCAATATGACCTAGGCCACCACATTCTGAGCACATGATGTTCCCTGTCCCACCACAACCTACAAAAACGAATGTGACATAGGATCATTGTCTTTGCAAAATATAACACAGCAGATGAAGATAACCAACAATCAGCTACCATGCTACTGTTCTAAAGTAGCATGCAGTGATCATACCACAAGACCAAGCCCCATGGACGACTACAGGCCAAGCTAGTCAACGTTTACTACTTCCCAAATATGCACTGAGATACTGTAATGTATACTCACTACAACACATCCTCTTGGTGAGTTGAAGTTAACAACAAACATGAATAAACATCAAAATTTATAAGCTAAGGTGAATGGTGAAAAAAAAGGAGCCCTAAAGAGGTAACTAATTGAGCTATTTTGCGGAAAGGGATCTCATCACAAGAAATAATTGTCCATGGTATGGCGGTAAACAAGTTTTCTTTCATAGTAGCATTACATCAGAATCAATTCTACTCAGTAAACTTGCCCTACATAACGGGCTGATGAGACACTGAAAAGGTCCTGCTGAGCCTAAGCATAAAGGGCTTGCACGAGCCAGAAAAAAGTACATTGCACTTTCTTGAAATACAAAATTATTAATTTCTAGAGAAAAGACTTGTGACATGCGGATAATTAACTCCATAAAACAAACAAAATAGTAATTGACTTGGCCAATTAGCTCAGAAAGTAAGCACATATCAATTTGTTAAAAAACAATTAGTAGGTTTTGATGATGACCATAGTTTGCCATAACAATAAAATGGTTTCACCAATAGATAGTGACCAATTAACAGTTACTATTCAGCATGATCTTGACGATAGTCAACTAAATAAATTTCACATGAAAAATAAGCGATTACTTTCTGAAAAAGAAAATTGTAAGAATAAGCACTATGAAGCGAAAGAAAAATTACCTAAGCACCTGACCTTGACAATGATGCCCTGGCTTTCCATTATAGAGTCAACATATAAGCCAGAACCAGAGCATGTGGTGCAAAGAACAGCGCCTTTGGCTTGGCAATCAGTGCACCGAGGATTATCTCCAATTACTTTTGCAGCCAACGAAACACCTACGGGCTCCTCAATTCTCTCCTCTGGTATAGGCTTATCATAACAAAACAGAGATTCAAGACTGCTTCTCCTTCTATGCACATCTGCCATTGAACTTGACTCCTGAAAAATCAAACAACAATTCCTGAGGAACTCGCGCGTTGAAAAACACGTGAAGATGAAAAATTGACTGATTGCCAATAATGAGCACACCCATGAATCTCATTTCACATATAGGAAAATATACCAGCATAATCATGTAATATCGTTTAATTATTCTGGGAGTAAAATTGATAAATCCATTATTTTATTGAGCACAACCTTATTTATTTACTTCTACATTATACCTTTCTAAAAATCCTTACACCAGCCTAGACATTGGTTGCTCTCTCATTTTATGAATGGAGAAATGCAGGTGCACAACAGCAGTCATGCCAAAATTTGCTAATACAAAGAAGAAAATAACATAATAATAATAAGTGATCACCTACATTCCAATACAGTTTCCAAAAGAAACATGTACCCGAAAATAAAATAAAGAAAGCAAAAAGGAACTAACCCCATGAGAAGAAGCAGAAGGAAAAACAGAGCCATTAGGAGTGATGGCAGAGATTTTTGTGATGCACCCATTTCCACTGAATTGAAACCCATATCCAATCTTATCATTCCTCTGTATATTTGATGGTTTTGGAGAAGAAGAAGACGAAGAAGAAATGGGCAAGAGTGTTGATGACCCAATTCTAATTGTAGAATCCATTGAACCCCAAAATACAAATTAAGAAATTAAATCAAGAAGATAATACAGATCTATTATGTTTAGAATTATCAAATTATAAGAGATCCAAAACTCAAAACTTTGGAGTTCTGTTTTGTGGTGTTTCTTTTTAACTCTTCTGAGCTTGGGTACCTCTCGTTCGTTGTTAACGATGGAGAGAGCTCGAAAAGTTTGGTGGGTGAAATGAGATCCTATTTTATATATGGGTCGTGAGTTTGAATTTCAATACAAAACTTAAGCCTATGGGGCCCAAAACGTTTTGCATTATTTATCTTTTGAAAATATTAAAAAAAAAAAACTAAGTTTTTTATGTGTAAATCTTCCAAACCTTTAAAATTAAACTAAACGTAAGTTTTATAGATAAAAAGGTCCGCTTTAGATAAATTGTGTTTTTTATTAAAAAAGAAAATACTTTACAAGTCATTTTTTTTCTTTGGAAAATTACACTTAGCATTTATAATTTGGTCTAAATTATAATTACACATTATAATTTTAAAAAAATATATTTTTTATTATTAATTTTATATGAACGTTAACATTTAATATGTTTTTTAAATATCAACAAAAATTATTTAATTATTTATAAAAAATTAGTTATAAAATACCTTCTAAAGTTTGTTCGTAAGTTTAATTTTTTTAATGTAATTTAAAAAATTATATTTTAAATTTTATATGCACTAACACTTAGTTTATCATTGTATTCATTTTAATTAATAAAAAACCCTTAAATCCTCGAAATAACAAAATTATCATTAAAATATTATCTTACGTAATTCCTCAAAATAAAATCCCTTTTAAACGTTTCAACAAACAATTTTTGGGCATAAAAATTTCTCTCAATTTTCTCTTCATTAAGTGTGCCAAATGGTGAAGAACCAATTACATTACTAAAATCTTCACAGCCCGCTTCAAGCTTAGATCTCTGAAGCTTTGGCAATCTCGAAATCGAAATATATTAAAGAAAAAACGTGAGAGAGGTTGAGAAAACTCCATAGACACGTATCCTATTCATCGGAATAGAGTAATTAATTTTTTCGACCTTCCAACCAGAAAATTGTTAGCTTTTTTTTTTTTAAGAATAACTTAGTAGTTTTCAAATGATCAATTGTTTACTAATGAAGTGTTGATATAGTGATTAAAATATTATTATTTATGTAAAGATAAAAATACAAGTTTAATTTTTTAAAAAATATATTTATTAGAAGGGCTAACAATAAACCCTAAACCGGATTAATTTTATTTTTTAAAAAGATATAAGAATATCCAAATAAAAAAAATAAAAATAATTAATTGGTAATAATTCAATTGTTTAGGATAAATAAGTTTTTTAACCTTGCATTAGAATAGTTTTAAAAGATAAATTACTTTTAAAAATAAAATTTATTTAATTTTTTTTACTTTTTTTATATTAAACTCAATGGTTAAAGTATCAAGGTTTTTTTTTTTTAACGCTTGCATTACATTAATATTATTTTTTAGATAGAAAAAAAAATAGTAAAATTAGAATTAAAGAGAAATATTTTGACATTACCTAAAAAATAACTATAATATATATGATTTTCTTGAGATGATACGAGGTGTGAGAGTCTTCGTAAAAAAAATAGTTAATAGAATATGAAAGGTATGTAATTTTTTTAGAATAGTTGATGTATTAGATTTTAAATTAATCTTTTAATTGATAAATTCTCTTCAAATGTATGTAATGGGCTGATATGACCATAAATGGCAAAATAGTAAAAATAGGTAACTAAAGGGTTAATTGAACAAACAAAATTATTGAAGCAATTTATCTTCTTTTCACTTCTTTTTTTGATAACCTGAGGTGTCCAGGTTAATTTATAAGCTCCACGAGTAATTCTTAGATTCACTAAATACCCTAAAAAATACTTTAAAAATAATCATTATCATAACATTAAATATATCTTTTTTTTTATTAACATGGATATTCAAGTTAGCTTATGCATGCCTCGACTAATTCCACTAGTCTTGAAATTAACAACCATGCAAGTCTCTAGTACTTTTGAAGGGACTCGAACTCGTGATCATTAAAGAACAAACCCAAGGTTTGATGCTACCTTTTAAGGTTACACTAACTATATCTTATTTAGAGCATGCATTGAATTAGCTAATTATTTTATTTTATTTTTAAATTATAATTGTAATGTAAGGCATTATAAATTAAAAACTTGCTTGTTCAAAATAGATTAATTTAATGTGTTTGGTATGATATTACATGTATAGTATTATATCTTTTTTTTTAAGTATAATTTTTACATATAAATTTGTTGCGACTTTCTTCTTAAATAAATATTACCATCAAAGAAATAAGCATTTGAAGAGACTTGACTTTTGTTTACACACACCATAATTTCAAGTATGACATAGCGGGTCATTTTTTTACATCACCAAGACAAAATTAAATAATTTAAGTTTTTTTGCTGATATTTTTGGA